GCTTGATCTGTGTGTTCTGGAGAGCTACAGGAACTGGCTGTGCAGCTTCCCACTGTCCCGTATCTGCTGGAGGGAGGAGTGGGGTTCGGTGTCCCTTCCATGCCTGCCTGCCTCTGAAGAGCCAGGCACAGAAGAGCCTGCTCTGAAGACCTGTCTGGGGGTCTCCCAGCTGCTGTGAAGAACTTGATGTCCTTTCTGTGCCAGCCTGCAGGACAGCCCTCGACAGAGAGCCAGTGTCTACTTCTGCAGTGGCTGCTGCAGCAGAGAATGGGGGGGGGCATTTGAAAGCATTTAAAGACCTGTCCCCCTCCCAGTGTGTGTGAGCAGAGCTGCTCCGGCAGGAGACAAGGAGGACAGGCAGGCAGTAAGAGGCCCCAGACATGGAGCAGGGTTCCTGGTGCTAGGAAGGAGCAGCTGGACCTGTCTGGTGGTGCTTGCTAATGGGAGAAGCTCAACAGGGCCTCATCTCATGGGGGTAAAAAGCACCTTTGTCTACATTAGATGTGTGCGTATGTGCCCAGATTGGGCTTGCAGTCTGACAGAGGTTGGTGGAGGTGTCCTACGGGAAGGAGCCCTCCCAATATTGGTACGCTTTCCCCCGTGGCACTGATGGAGTGAGGAGCAGCGAGTCTGCGGGAAAGCTTGGGGGGCTCTGCCTGCCGTGGGTCTGGTTTGGCTGGGAGAAGCAACCTACAGGTAGGTGGCAACCTGAGCATGTTGGAAGACTATTGTGCCAGCTGAACAGTCTTGCAGTGTGCAGGACTTGGGTTAAAACCAGCCCCTTGGACGGGCAGGGTGGAGGAACCTGCAGCTCAGTGGTATCACGGGAGCCAGCTGCCCTCAAGCAGCATGCTGCTGGGGGAAAGGTTCATGGTCACCACTCTGGAGCCCGTACTCCAGCCAGGGTAGTCTCTCGTGGTGGGAACTACAACATCTCTTGCAAGTGTTTGTCCTTTAAGGGGCTGACTGGATGGCAGCAGCCACGATGCGTGGCTGGGTTTTTAATCCACTGCCCAGCCAACAACTCGCCCT